TGATGATTACCATGAAATAATGGTTGAATTTGAGTTGATGAACATAATTGAGCAAAAACACATCCAGCTGACCACATATCTAATGAACTATTGAGAGTTCGATCACCAAGAAGTAATTCTGGTGGAGATTGAGAAAAACATGAAACATCACTTATATTTATTCTCATTGTTGGCAATACAGCATGTTTAGCATATTCAAAATTTGATAATTTAAGTTGTCCTGTACGTGTTATAAGTAAATGTTTTAATTCAATAGCACAATGATAAACTAATCGATCATGACAAAAATTAATCGCTGAAAGTAATTGATATAAATATGTTTGAATTTGTTCATTAGTTAATTGTTTTTCTGTACCACCATATAATAAACCATGTGTTGCTAAATCACGATTATATGCATAATCAAAAATAAAATAAATTGAATTATTTATTGTTAATGTTGGTAAATATTTAATTGATAAAAGGGATAAAATATTTGGATGAATATTAGAATTATCATCAGTAGAAAGTATACTACGAAGTAGATAAGCTTCATTAATTGATGATGAACTAAGTAGTGAAAGACTTTTTCTAGAAAATAATATATATGTAACGAATAAAATAATTAATATTAATTAATATTACACGCAAAGAATTTGTTGACTTGGTTGATGAATTGCTTTGAAAATCGATTTACATATTTCAGATTCTATAATAATACCGTGATGTTTTCGAAACATCATTGTCCATGATACAGCCATTATTAATTTTGAATTTTAAATACGAGGCAAATATATTTTATCAAACACAAATAGATAATATTTTATAAAGATGTCACACATGTACCAATCTGAACAGATTGTTATTCGAATTCTTAAGTTGTGGCATTATTTGTATATTTTCCTTCTGAAGGATTGTCTGCGATATAATGAGAACAAGGATCGATTAATGAATGCATTATCAAAAATAGATCGCCTATCTATTTCTTATAGACGATATTTTATATGATTACTCTATATATGTACAAAAAGCTATTAGACTCATATATCCTTAAAGTCTGCAATGGTTACAATTTAATATTGACCATTAAATACAGATCAATAATAATATATATATATTTTTTTGGTGATGATTTCATATGCTAATCTGTTTGAAATAGCCGACAAAACAAAGAATAACATTAATCAACTACTTGAAATACAAAATAAGATAAACATTGCACTGTTCAAGAAAAAGCAAGACAACAGACAGAGAAAAGAGAAAGTAATATGACAATAATAAACATTGAGCTATTTTTCTACTCATGCTTGAAATAAAAAATATATCACAAAAAAACAAAAAAAAAAAACAATAAAATAAAATGTTTATACATGTACATATTGTTTTCTATATGACTCTTCTTCTCCTCCTTCTTCATTTTCTTCGTCTCCATCATCATCGATATGTAATAAAATATTATCATCATGCTCAAAATTATTTGAATGATAATCATTTAATTGTTCTTTTATTGGTGGTGTTTCACTACCAGCAATTTTAATTATATCTTCTTCAAC